CTTTTGTTATTGACCAAATACTTATTTTCCACCATAATTTGCAAATAAATTCATTAAAAATCCTATAATGTGATTTTCTGGATTTTTTTTTCTCATTTTGTCTTTCATAGTTGACGTGTACCTATGATGAAAATTACAGGCCTCTCTCATCTTTTTAAGTGGGAGAACTTGCACAATTGGTGGCTGACTAAATACTTTTTTGCCCCACTGTATATATATATATATATATATATATATATATATATTATTAATAATATATTATTTAGAGGAGAGCTGGTCTGAAATCAGTTTTTAACGACAGAAAATAACTACTGTAACCATTGAAGCTCTGCCTAAGGATGAGTTACATTTCCCTAATCATGTGACCTACATGACATCCCTGGTAAACTTCACTCTGGGAGATATAGTGTGAATAGCACGCAGGGAAGCAGGACAGCATTTATTTTGTATTTACAGATTCATGTTTCACACCACAGTTAAATACACAACACTGAGAGGAGGGTATCAGTTAAGTAATTGAACTATTACTACTGCCAGAGAAATAAGCCCAGAATAAATTAGTTATTTTGAGAAGGGCTGTTGCGGTGACCATATTACTACCACACCGGCGGTCACGAGTCATGAAGGCAGTCAAATTCCACATGACCGTTTAGTCACGGTAATTAGGCTTCTCCAAGCTATGATGCTGCTGCTGGTCATTAGTAGCCTACCAAACTTGCTAACTGCCTGGTACTCAGCACTCTATTGTCCCACTTTCACTCTGATATCAATGCAAATGTATTCGAAGATCTAATCAAACACTTCATGAGAGCCCATGAGCTCATGTTGCGCAACATTTCTATAGGCTATGCAATTGCGGGAGAAAACAGAGGATCCCTTCAGCTTTCTATAGGCTAGGGCTACTATATTTATTTCTCAACTTCCCTAATATTAAGCTCATTGCTTATATTTATAACAGGAGTATAGCCTACCTGGCTGGCATGAAAATAAACCACGGGGAAAAGCATTCTCCATTCGCTATTTAAGTGCTGCCCCTGTTTCAATACAGGTGCATGATAATGGTCCATTCTAAATCAAAACAAATTTCACACATACAGTGGGGAGAACAAGTATTTGATACACTGCCGATTTTGCAGGTTTTCCTACTTACAAAGCATGTAGAGGTCTGTACATTTTATCATAGGTACACTTCAACTGTGAGAGACGGAATCTAAAACAAAAATCCAGAAAATCACATTGTATGACTTTTAAGTAATTCATTTGCATTTTATTGCATGACATAAGTACTTGATACATCAGAAAAGCAGAACTTAATATTTGGTACAGAAACCTTTGTTTGCAATTACAGAGATCATACGTTTCCTGTAGGTCTTGACCAGGTTTGCACACACTGCAGCAGGGATTTTGGCCCACTCCTCCATACAGACCTTCTCCAGATCCTTCAGGTTTCGGGGCTGTCGCTGGGCAATACGGACTTTCAGCTCCCTCCAAAGATTTTCTATTATGTTCAGGTTTGGAGACTGGCTAGGCCACTCCAGGACCTTGAGATGCTTCTTACGGAGCCACTCCTTAGCTGCCCTGGCTGTGTGTTTCGGGTCGTTGTCATGCTGGAAGACCCAGCCACGACCCATCTTCAATGCTCTTACTGAGGGAAGGAGGTTGTTGGCCAAGATCTTGCGATACATGGCCCCATCCATCCTCCCCTAAATACGGTGCAGTCGTCCTGTCCCCTTTGCAGAAAAGCATCCCCAAAGAATGATGTTTCCACTCCATGCTTCACGGTTGGGATGGTGTTCTTGGGGTTGTACTCATCCTTCTTCTTCCTCCAAACACGGCGAGTGGAGTTTAGACCAAAAAGCTCTATTTTGTCTCATCAGACCACATTACCTTCTCCCATTCCTACTCTGGATCATCCAGATGGTCATTGGCAAACTTCAGACGGGCCTGGACATGCGCTGGCTTGAGCAGGGGGACCTTGCGTGCACTGCAGGATTTTTATCCATGACAGCGTAGTGTGTTACTAATGGTTTTCTTTGAGACTGTGGTCCCAGCTCTCTTCAGGTCATTGACCAGGTCCTGCCGTGTAGTTCTGGGCTGATCCCTCACCTTCCTCATGATCATTGATGCCCCACGAGGTGAGATCTTGCATGGAGCCCCAGACCAAGGATGATTGACCGTCATCTTGAACTTCTTCCATTTTCTAATAATTGTGCCAACAGTTGTTGCCTTCTCACCAAGCAGCTTGCCTATTGTCATGTAGCCCATCCCAGCCTTGTGCAGGTCTACAATTTTATCCCTGATGCCCTCACACAGCTCTCTGGTCTTGGCCATTGTGGAGAGGTTGGAGTCTGTTTGATTGAGTGTGTGGACAGGTGTCTTTTATACAGGTAACGAGTTCAAACAGGTGCAGTTAATACAGGTAATGAGTGGAGAACAGGAGGGCTTCTTAAAGAAAAACTATCAGGTCTGTGAGAGCTGGAATTCTTACTGGTTGGTAGGTGATCAAATACTTACAGTGGGGGAAAAAAGTATTTAGTCAGCCACCAATTGTGCAAGTTCTCCCACTTAAAAAGATGAGAGAGGCCTGTAATATTCATCATAGGTACACGTCAACTATGACAGACAAATTGAGAAAAAAAATTGGCTCTCACTGGCTCTCACAGACCTATAGCTTCTTCTTTAAGAGGCTCCTCTGTCCTCCACTCGTTACCTGTATTAATGGCACATGTTTGAACTTGTTATCAGTATAAAAGACACCTGTCCACAACCTCAAACAGTCACACTCTAAACTCCACTATGGCCAAGACCAAAGATCTGTCAAAGGACACCAGAAACAAAATTGTAGACCTGCACCAGGCTGGGAAGACTGAATCTGCAATAGGTAAGCAGCTTGGTTTGAAGAAATCCACTGTGGGAGCAATTATTAGGAAATGGAAGACATACAAGACCACTGATAATCTCCCTCGATCTGGGGCTCCACGCAAGATCTCACCCCGTGGGGTCAAAATGATCACAAGAACGGTGAGCAAAAATCCCAGAACCACACGGGGGGACCTAGTGAATGACCTGCAGAGAGCTGGGACCAAAGTAACAAAGCCTACCATCAGTAACACACTACGCCGCCAGGGACTCAAATCCTGCAGTTCCAGACGTGTCCCCCCGCTTAAGCCAGTACATGTCCAGGCCCGTCTGAAGTTTGCTAGAATGCATTTGGATGATCCAGAAGAGGATTGGGAGAATGTCATATGGTCAGATGAAACCAAAATATAACTTTTTGGTAAAAACTCAACTCGTCGTGTTTGGAGGACAAAGAATGCTGAGTTGCATCCAAAGAACACCATACCTACTGTGAAGCATGGGGGTGGAAACATCATGCTTTGGGGCTGTTTTTCTGCAAAGGGACCAGGACGACTGATCCGTGTAAAGGAAAGAATGAATGGGGCCATGTATCGTGAGATTTTGAGTGAAAACCTCCTTCCATCAGCAAGGGCATTGAAGATGAAACGTGGCTGGGTCTTTCAGCATGACAATGATCCCAAACACACCGCCCGGGCAACGAAGGAGTGGCTTCGTAAGAAGCATTTCAAGGTCCTGGAGTGGCCTAGCCAGTCTCCAGATCTCAACCCCATGGAAAATGTTTGGAGGGAGTTGAAAGTCCGTGTTGCCCAGTGACAGCCCCAAAACATCACTGCTCTAGAGGAGATCTGCATGGAGGAATTGGCCAAAATACCAGCAACAGTGTGTGAAAACCTTGTGAAGACTTACAGAAAACTTTTGACCTGTGTCATTGCCAACAAAGGGTATATAACAAAGTATTGAGAAACTTTTGTTATTGACCAAATACTTATTTTCCACCATAATTTGCAAATAAATTCATTAAAAATCCTACAATGTGATTTTCTGGAATTTTTTTTCTCATTTTGTCTGTCATAGTTGACGTGTACCTATGATGAAAATGACAGGCCTCTCTCATCTTTTTAAGTGGGAGAACTTGCACAATTGGTGGCTGACTAAATACTTTTTTTCCCTACTGTATGTTTTGAGATTAACTTTTCATACAATGTCTATGTTTGGGATTCAAAGAAAAGGGTAGAGTTATAAGCCTGGTCTCAGATTTGCACATGTGCCAACTTCTTTGACTATCCTTGTTGTAGGCTATAGGAGTTGGTTAAAGCACATACAGTATCTGGAACACAAGTATTCAGGTCTCAGATAAACTTTATTAATCAAGCAAATGTGCTTCGCCGAATCACCTCCGTTGCACTACAACATAGGGTTGCTGTTGTGACAGTTTTAGCAAGGTGTTAATCAAACAAGACAAGTTTTTCTGAAGTTTAAAGGCCCAGTGCAGTCAAAAACATGATTTTTCTGTGTTTTATATATACTTCCACACTGTTGGAATAATATTGTGAAATTGTGAAAATTATGATAATGCCCATTTAGTGTATAGCTGTTTGAAAAGACTGCCTGAAATTTCTGCCTGTTTGGTGGGATGGAGTTTTGGCTTGCCTGGTGACATCACCCTAATTCGCATACCGCCCCAATAGATCCACAGATGATGCTATCTTTATTGCACTTCACACTGCCCTTTCCCACGTGGACAAAAGGAACACCTACTTGAGAATGCTGTTCATTGAGTACAGCTCAGCGTTCAACATCAGAGTGCCCTCCAAGCTCATCACTAACGTAAGGACCCTGGGACTGAACACCTCCCTCTGCAACTGGATCCTAGACTTCCTGACGGGACGCCCCTAGGTGGTGAGCGTAGGCAACAACACATCCGCCACGCTGACCCTCAACACAGGGGCCCCTCAGGGTTGAGTGCTTAGTCCCCTCCTGTACTCCCTGTGCACCAACGACTAGGTGGCCACGCACGAGGTACTTAATTGTTACCCAGAAATTATTTGATATTAAGATAAAAACAGCTGCATTGGACCTTTGAAGTTCTCCCCCGGGGGCGGATAACTTCTTCTTCTTGGCTAACACAACATGGCATCTCAACAGGAGCCACATGTTATGTAGTAACCTTATGAACACAGCACGCAGCACTGAGCAGCCTGCAACATAAGGGAGGGAGAGAGAAAGAGAGACATTATTCCTAACATTATTTCAGTGTTGTTGATTTAAAGGATCCAATGCAGCCATTTTTATCTCAATATTAAATCATTTCTGGGTAACAATTAAGTAACTTAATGTGAAAATAAATAGCTTCTTAGCAAAGAGTAATTTCTCAAGCAAGAATTTTGCTAGGACTGTCTGGGAGTGATATGAGTGGGGAGGGGAAAACTGAAAACCTATCGGCAGATAGGTTTGGAACTCTAGATCAAACAAATCTTACAATAAAAGGGCATTATCATAATTTTCACTATTTCACAGTATTATTCCAACCTCATAGTGTGGGAATATATATAAAAAACACAGGAAAATCACATTTGACTGCACTGGGCCTTTAATAGTATCCTCTTGCTACTTCCATTGCGATTATGTACCCATAACATATCATGTGAACTTAGTTAATTGAACAGAGAGAAAAAGAGAGAGGAGAGAATAGGGAGAAGGATAGATATTATAACCAAGCATGGGTGTCACCAGTTTGTCCAAGGTAAGAGCGAGGGCAAACAAGACTAGAGTCAATATTTGCTCAAGGTCCTCTCGTTGCTATCCCATGTCCTGTACTCTCTCACCACTCAGGGATTGTTTTCAACCTGACGCTTTCTACCCTTAAGCCCAACTACTGTTTACCCCCTGTGTGTGGGTGCATGCGTGCGTGTACAGTAAGGTAGAATAGTATTAGCTAACATGTCTAATGTCTATAGCCATGGGTGCGGTGATGTAGAGTGGTGTTTTAAGCATAGTTACTATAATGAATGCTCCAATTCTATTGTTGTGAGGTATTTTTCCACTACATGCAGAACGTCATTGTCAACGTCTTGAAATACAATCACCCCTGCAGTATTATTACAATTTACACATGACAGGACACTGGTAGTGACAATGTCGTGACATTCATAAACCAGTCCACAACATTACCTCCTGTCATTAACACAGTAAATATAAGTTGGTGTCGGCAGTGGCGATTTTAGCATGTACATCTTGGTGGAGAAAACGTTTTAAAAATGTTTCGATGCATGCCAGCAAAGCCACAACACAACACTAAACAATACATTAATTGTACTATAAACGGTGACAAACGGTGCCCACAAACTGTTATGGCCTACATAAAGCTGTCCCAACAGAAGAGCTTCCTTTTCAGCACCATGGAGTGAATCCTTACCACCGCTACACCTGGCTATCAACGGAGCCTTGTCTGGCAGCGAAACAGTTCATTCAGCCTCATTTCCTGTTTGGACTATGACACTATGAGCCTTTTGAATCAAAACATTTACGTGAACTCGGGTGATAAAGTTTAATTGAATATCATCCTCAGACTGACCTGTTGTGACTGAGGTGGTCCTGCTCTTGGGGGGCTCTGTCTCCGTTGGCGATGTAGGCATGCTCCCGTTGGAGTCTGTTATGAGCAGGGTCCACCTTTCTCTGGCAGGCCTTTCCTTGTCACACTTTGTCACCCGGAACCTGACATAACATCATGGCCACCAACATGCTTGCAATTGACAATAACTGGAGGAATCAAGTTAAGAATAAGTACTATTAGGAGTACAACAGCGGCAACTACTGGCAATGAGGGGTTAAATTGTGGAGAGGCAGAGATGCAGTGAGAATCATGACAACATAAATACACCTAAAAATCAACCCATGTTGGATAATATTCTACCTATAAAATCTCAATTCAACCCCTACTGACAATTCACATCTACACTCCCCTCCATATGTATTTGGATAGTGAAGCTACATTTTGGCTCTATACTCCAGCATTTTAGATTCGTGAATGTTTCATATTGTCACGGTTTCGGCCGAGGCTGCTCCTCCTCCTGGTTCGGGCAGGCTTCGGCGGTCGTCGTCCCCGGAGTACTAGCTGCCACCGATCTATGTTTCATGTTCGTTTGGTTTTGTCTTGTTGTTGTACACCTGTGTCTAGTTAGTCCTCGTTAGTGTCCTATTTAGTTCTCGTTGTGTGTGCCTGTGTTTGTGTGTGATTGTTCTTCTGTTTTGGTGTTTGAGCTACGTACTTCCCTCCAGTGTTTGGAGAGGTTTTCGCACATGTTAGTGCGCCGTTTGTTTGACGCCTGTGTGCGCCGTTATTTCGCCTCCGGGCTTATTGTGCTTATTTTCCACGTGAATATTTCACTAAAGTCTTTTGGACTGAGCTTCTGCGTCCTGCGCTTGATTCCTGCACCACACCCACCTTCAGCACCCCTTGACACATATTAGGCGACAGTAAATAATCTCAGCTTTATTTGAGAGTATTTCTATACATATGTTTTAGAAATGAAAGCGCTTATGCATCTAGTCCCCCCATTTGGAGAAGTCATACGTATTTGGACAAATTCACTTATTGTGTATTGAAGTAGTCAAAGGTTTAGTATTTGGTCCCATATTCCTAGCACGCAATGACTACATCAGGTTTATGACTCTACAAACTTTTTTGGATGCATTTAGGGTTTGTTTTGGATTATGTTTTGCCCAATAACAACTGAAATGGTGAATAATGCCATTTTGGAATCACTTTTGTTGTAATTAAGAATATAAGATGTTTCCGAACACTTCTACATTCATTTGGATGCTACCATTATTATGGATAATCATGAATGAATCGTGAATAATGATGAGTGAGAAGGTTACAGAGGCACAAAGATCATAAGCCCCCAAAATGCTAACCTCCCCTGTTATTGGTGAGAGGTTAGAATTGGGGTTGGGCGGTTTCCAGATTTTCATATCTTCATACCGCCCTTCTCTCATTCCTTTATTTACAGTATTACCGGTTTAGTACACAAGGGGGCTCCAAAAAATGCAAAAAATATCATTGGGCGTCTATTACCAGAATGCTAACAAAATTAGCACAAGTAATAGCACATTTCCATGGAGGCTGCTAGCTAAACATGGTAACGAGCGCAAATGACAGGCAATCTAGCTCACAAAGTTACACAGTGGTTTCTCAATTAAACGTTTCGAGATTATGCCGCGGGACATTGAGGTAATTTGTGGTTTAGTATGTTACCCTGCGTCACTGCTTCATTGCTCCAGACCACCGCAAGGGGGAGTTAGAGTGCTGATTATGCTTTTGGGTAGAGTGTAAAGCATTGGTCCCAAGGTGCTAATGTGTCTCTACCTGAATGAATGCTGTCAATCAATGGGCGATAAAAAACAAATAGAAACTGATATATAGCCCCGTATAGCTCAGTTGGTAGAGCATGGCGTTTGCAACGCCAGGGTTGTGGGTTCGATTCCCACGGGGGGCCAGTATGAAAAATGTATGCACTCACTAACTTTAAGTCTGCTAAATGACTAAAAATTTAAAATATAAAAAGGTAGGAGCTGCCGAATGTCATTTTTGGTGAGTTTGGACATTACAAGCGAATATGAACAAGAGACATTGTGCAAATGAACAAACTTTTGATGCATACTTGTCTGAAGGAAGAACAGTAGTGGCTCTGTAGCAGCATGTGTACACGCTGTGTCTGTGTGGAGTCTGGATTCGCTAGGGCAAAGGGCCTGCCAGCTCTGCTCGGAGAAGAGGGGGGAGGAGCAGATGGGCAGAGAACTGAGAGGGGGAAAAAATCAAGAAAATCAAGATAGCAGTGGCAGCTGTACAGATAACTCATCCAAAAGGGCTTTGACTTCTCAAACACGGCAGAAAGCTAACACAATATGATGCCCCGTCACCTTATAATTCAGCCAGTAACTTAGATAACTAGCAAGTTAAACTTATTGTCGCTTTAACATAGACTTCTGCATTTCTCACGCAGGAAAAAATATAAAACGCATAAGAAATATCTTCCTACGTTTTATAAACGCAGATAATAATTAATAATAATAATTGGTAATTTAGCAGACGCTCTTATCCAGAGCGACTTACAGGAGCAATTAGGGTTAAGTGCCTTGCTCAAGGGCACAATGCTTCTTATTGTAATTTCTGCCCGGCATCAAACTAATATCGTGCTTCAGTTGCACTTCTCCACTGGATGAGAATTCACAACAAGCATTCTATCAGCATCTGATTGATGTGTAGCTACTTTTCTCAGGTACTTCTTTCAGTGTTGCCAGTCTACTATTCTCTGGTAGATTGCAAGATTAACTTTAAGCAAAACATTAGGAAATGTAGCTGGCTACATTCTTTCTATGATAAACATAGCAAAAAATACCTTGCTTTTTCATTGTAAGCTCATTTAACTGTGTGGCTGCCAGCCAAATAGCGTTGCACTTCTGTTGTCATCTGATGAAAATGAAGCTATTTTCTGCCGAATGTGTTGCACTAATGTATTTTCTATGAAGGAACACTATAGTTGCACGTCCCTGATCACTCTGTTGAAAAAAATATATATAAAACGCGACCCCAGTCAATACACAGCTGGACTCGCCTGCTCCCGTTGTGCTATTAACAAACAAACAAACATGTTCTGGGGAACTATGGTAAGCTTCATAATGTAAAATAATGTGACAGGTGACATGAAGAATGTGATCTGCTTTATCACCTAACATATAGCACAAGTTGACTGCAGGTATTTATTTAAAAACCAGCTACAAATATGAAAACGTGTTGAGAAACTTAGTTTCAGTGATATTGGGGGTATTGAAAAACCATCCCGTGGCTATTTCCAAATACCCTGGTATACCGCCCAAGCCTAGTTGGCATGTTTTGTTGTAGCCTCTGAATGGCATCACTCATCATTATTCATGATTCATGATTTTTCTTAATCATGGCATTATCACGATTAATTTAGAAGTGTTCAGAAACATCTTATCTACTCAGTTAGAAAGAAAATTACTGGCCTCCCGAGTGGCATCGCAGTGCTACAGGCATCACTACAGACCCGGGTTCAATCCCAGGCTGTGTTGCAGCCAGCTGTGACCGGGAGACCCATGAGGCAGCGCACAATTGGCCCAGTGTCGTCCGGGTTAGGGGAGGGTTTGGCCAGCCGGGATGTCCTTGTCCCATCGCGCTCTAGCCGGGCACATACATGCACGCTGAATTCGGTTGCCAGTTGTACGGTGTTTCCTCTGACACATTGGTGTGGCTGGCTTCCGGGTTAAGCGAGCAGTGTGTCAAGAAGCAGCGCAGCTTGGCAGGGTCGTGTTTCGGGGGACGCATGGCTCTCGACCTTCGCCTCTCCCGAGTCCGTACGGGAGTTGCAGTGATGGGACAAGAATGCAACTATTTTCATTTTAGCAGACGCGACTTACAGTTAGTGAGTGCATACATTTTCATACTGGCCCCCCGTGGGAAACGAACCCACAACCCTGGCGTTGCAAGCGCCATGCTCTACCAACTGAGCTACAGGGGACTACAACTACCAATTAGATATCACGAAATTGGGGAGAAAAAGGGGTAAAAATATTTAAGATAGAAAATTACTCCATTCACCATTTAGTTACTATTGGGCAAAAACACAACCAAACGCATAAGTTTGTAGATTCACAAGCCTGATGTAGTCATTGTGTGCAAGGAATATAGGACCAAATACTAATCTTTTGACTACTTCGATACACTATAAGTGAATTTGTCCAAATACTTATGACTTCTTCACATGGGGGAGACTAGATACATAAAGTGCTTTCATTTCTAAAAGGTAAAACAGATATGTATGAAAATATCCTCAAATAAAATGTAACATGCTGTACTGTCGCCTCATATGAAACATTTTACTTCAAATCCAAAATGCTGGAATATAGAGCCACATTTTTTATTTTAGCTTCACTGTCCAAATACATAGAGGGGAGTGTATATTAAAGGTCCAATGCAGCTGATTTGATCTCAATATCAAATCATTTCTGGGTAACAATTAAGTACCTTACTGTGATTGTTTTAAATTAAAATGATCAAAAATGAACAAAAATAGCTTCTTAGCAAAGAGTAATTTCTCAAGCAAGAATTTTGCTAAGACTGTCTGGGAGTGGTCTGAGTGGGGAGGGAAAACTAGCTTATTGGCAGAGAGGTTTGGAACTCTTTCTTATTGGTCTATTAACAAAATTTACCAGGCAGGCCAAAACTCCATCCCACCAAAACAGGCTGAAATTTCAGGCAGTCTTTTCAAGCAGCTCTTACACTTAAAGGGTTCATCATCATTTTCAAAACGTCACAGTATTAGTCCAACCTCATACTTGTGGAAAATCTAATTTTTGACTACACTGGGCCTTTAACATCAACATAACAAATGGTCCTCACATGCCAATCAACCATAACCTAACATTGATATTACAGTCAGAGTTGATCAATAGTGACATTAGTGTGATGTTATTTAAGATGTATTCCTGCCTGACCCGGGGGCTATGTTATGATTCTCACTGAGGATCCCATAACATCACACTCCCTGGCACTTGACAGATTCAATTAAATCACGTAATGAATATTCCCTCCCAGGTCAGCGCGACCCCAGATGTACGCTTCCATTCATCTGGATGAGCAAATTAAAACAGAGGCCACTCTTCATTCAAATCAGGTATTCTACAGGAAGGGAGAAGTGGAGGATTGTTGATACACACTCATTCACTTGAACTGGGCAGTCTCTCTCAGTGAGAAAAAAATCATGCACATCCACAAACCTTTATACTGACACAATCACCACCACCACCACCACCACCTTTCCTGTCTCTCAGACACTCTCGCTCTCTCTCGCTCTCTCTCTCTCCTACCTCCCCACAGCCAGCACAGTGACCACTCCTTGGCTCCTCCTCTTGCTGGACACGTGCGTTATCAGGGGCCACTTCTTGTGGTTGCAGCGGTTCTTGAGACCCTCCGTGCCTCCGATGGTGTGTAGGTGATTGCAGGTGTGTTTGGCCGCCCCCGGCGGGGACCCGGGGGAGATAGGAGTCACCGGGGGGTGGGGGAGGTTGGAGTCAGTGGTAGGCTGTGGAGGGAAAGAAGGTTGAAAGGGTTAAGAAGAAAAAAAGGAAGATACTCCAGCACACTGGTGATATACGCTCGGCAGACAATCTCACAACAACGAAAGGTTTACTGTAAACCAGAAGAAAATAATCTGACCTTATTAGAAGACACTCTAGTAGACTCTAGTATTCATGATCATGAACCTTGGTCCTGGAGAGCTACATGGAGTGCAGGCTTTTGTTCCAGCCCAGCACTAACATACCAGATTCCACTAATCCAAATCAGTTTATTTGTGGGAATTATGGGATTCAGTGCTGGACTGGAACAAAAACCCTGCGGCACTCTCCAGGACCGGAGATGACAACCCCTGCTCTAGTAATTGGACAGAGTGTATCTGTACTGTACTATTTCAAGCCGGCTGCACTCTCTTGTTTAAATTATTAAGGCTTTATTATTCAGGTTTGTCCTAGGGAGACCTAAAGTGGAGGAGTGTGCGAGAGTGTACTATATGTGGTGATACTGTGCTGTTGAGTTTGAGAGGAGATGCAAGACACTTTTTCCAAAAGGGACACAATAAAGAAATTATTATTAGAGTGTGAGTGTGTGTGTGTATATATACACAATGTGAAGGAGTGTGTGAGAGAGTGCAGGAGTCCTGCCTTAAAGTAACTGCCCAGTGTTTTCCACATTTCTATGAAATATGACCAATAATTAAAGCTGCAATATGTCACTTTTTGTGGGACCCGACCAAATTCACAGAAATGTGTGTTATAGATTTACACCTGCCAAATGCGGGTAGATTTACACCTGCCACCTGCCAAATGCGGGTAGATTTTGGCATTGGCGGGTAAGATGTCTATTTCACCAACCACGTTGGTGGATTGTCAGGGCTCCACAGTGCTAGCATTTCACTCGCATTTGTGAATAGAAATAGTCAACTATGATCACATTTATAGTCAAATAAATGCTGCAGTAGCCGTTTTCAAAGTATTTCTGCCGTTTTATTTCATAGCTGGTAAATTAAAATCGCACAAAGTCAAAGAACTACGAATCCTATAGCTATAGCCTATTCCACCTCGCGCTGCAACACTGCCTGGCTGGGGGCTGTGCGCACATCAATACATTTTTAGAAGCAATGCGCACAGGCATAAATGTTGGTCTAAATGTACTTGAAACAAAAGTATATTGAAGTGAGACTTTGTCCTTGTGTTTCTTGCCAATTTACATTGTTTTGTTCACAAGCTAGTTTGTTTTTCTATGTTTTAGTTTCAACTGCTAGGGAAGAGAAGACAATGCTTGTACTAGTCAGACTCAATCTCACAGGCAGAAACATGACTCGAGTTGCATTACCAAGGTAACCTCCCACTCTTAAAAGGGCAGGTGAAACATTTGTCTCATCTGTGATATTTTGGTTAAAAGACTCAAGTCACAAAAAAAGAAATTAAACAATATACCACATTACTTCTTACTAGTAATAAATGTATTGTTTTAGAAACATTACAAAGCATGCTCATCCATTTTTTTGTGTTTTGTTGGTGTAATTTTAGCAGGGAAAATATATATAAGAAATCTGAGTGGCTGGTAGATTTTTTTTTATCTACCTGCCACAGTGGCTGGTGGACCAAAAAGTACATGTTATGCCCTAGAAGGGGGGGATGGGGGCAAGTGTATAAATTGAGCAGTATAATAAGAGTCTGGTAGCAGTAGTTCTGGTGTGTGTGTGTGTGTGTGTGTGTGTGTGTGTGTGTGTGTGTGTGTGTGTGTGTGCACGCGCGCATATATGTCTGTGTGGGTCTGTGCATGAGTTAGTGAGATGTGTGCTAAGGTGCGGAGAATCAGAGCAGGTGGTCAGTCCAGTTCAAGTTTTAGGCAGTCTGATGGCTTGTAGATAGAAACTGTCTGTCTCGGAACCTATTGATATCAGACCTCATGCGCCGATACTGTCTGCCCGACGATACGGGAGACAACAGCTCGTGGCTGGGGTGTGTGGGGCCCTTGATGATGCTGCGTGCCTTCCTCAGGAACCGTTTCGAGTAGATGTCCTGGATGGGTTGGATCACGGTCCCAGTGATGTACTGGGCCTTGCGTACCAGGCCCTGATGCAACCGGTCAGGACGCTCTCGATGGTGCAGCAGTAGTATTTGGAGAGGACCTGAGGCATCATGCAGAATTTCTTCAACAGCCTTAGAAAGTAGAGATGCTGTTGCGCCCTCTTGACAAGAGTGGTGGTGGTGTTGGTCCATGACCAATCCTTAGTGATGTGGACGCCGAGGAACTTAAAACTCGTGACTCTTTACTGCAGTCCCATTGATGTGGATCGGGCATGTTCCCTCCTATGCTTCCTGAAGTCAACAATCAACTCCTGTGTTTTGCTGATGTTGAGGAAGAGGTTGTTTTCATGACACCACAATGCCAGTTAACTTACCTCTTCCCTACAGACTGACTCGTCTTTGTTGGTTATCAGGCCTACAACCGTGATGTCGTCAGCAAACTTGATGATGGAGTTGGTGTCTTGCAAAGCCACGCAATCGTGGGTGAACAGGGAGTACTGCAGAGGACTGAGGACACACCCCTGGGGGGCCCCTGCATTAAGAGTCAGTGTGGAGGAGGTGTTGTTGCCAATCCTCACAGCCTGTGGTCTGCCGTCAGGAAGTCCAGGATCCAGTTGCAGAGGGTGGTGTCCAGACCCAGGGATCCAGTATGAAAAATGTATGCACTCACTAACTGTAAGTTGCTCTGGATAAGAGCGTCTGCTAAATTACTAAAATGTAAATGTAAAAAATTTAAGCTTGGTGTCGATCTTGGTGGCAACAGTAGTGATGAATGCTGAACTGTAGTCAATGAACAGCATTCTCACATAGGTGTTCCTCTTGTCCAGATGTGTTACGGAAATTGCATTGTCAGTGGATCTGTTGCAACGGTAGGTAAATTGGAGTGGGTACAGTGTGCCTGGCATGCTGGCCTTGATGTGGGCCATGACCAGCCTCTGTGAGCACTTCATGATGACTGAGGTGAGTGCGACGGGGTGATAGTCATTTGGGCATGTCACCTTGTTTTTCTTGGGCAATGGGACGATGGTGGTCTCCTTAAAGCAGGTAGGGACTACAGCCTGGGACAGGAACAGGCTGAAGATGTCAGCGAAGACGCCCGCCAGCTGGTCAGCACACACTGAGGATGCGGCCAGGGATGCCATCTGGGCCGGCAGCTTTGTGAGCATTCACTCTATTGATAGTTTTCCTCACGTCAGCCTCAGAGAGCGAAAGCACCTGGTCGTCCGGAGCAACAAGAATCTTCCTGGATGGCTTGGTTTCGTCTGCCTCGAAGCGAGCATTTAATGTGTTAAGCTGGTCTGGGAGGGAGGCTTCTGTGGGCACAGCACAGCTGGATTTGCCTTTTTAGTCTGTAGTCCTTGCCACATGCGACATGAGTCTGAGTTGTCGAACATCAATTGACGTTTGAGTCTATTTTCTTTTTGCGTCCCTAATGGTCATGTGCAGTGGCTGTTTGTGTATGCGGGAATCAGAGCGCCATGCTTATTTTGGTGTCCATTATCTTGCAAAATATACCCGTTCCATAAATGACCCCCCTCTGTCACCCCTCTTGAGCCGGCCTCTCCCTCCCCTGAGTGTTCTACTGGAAGCCTGCCCACCATGACAGAGAGCGAGAGAGCGAGAGAGCGAGAGAGCGAGAGAGCGAGAGAGCGAGAGAGCGAGAGAGCGAAAGGGGGGAGAGGGAGGGAGAGAGTGAGAGCACAAGGAGGGGGAGAGAAAGGGCAGGGCATTAATAGAGACAGACCGACTGACAGACAGAGAGGCAGAAGTGGGTAGCACGGAGAGAGAGATAGGAACCAGGGAGAAAGACAGAGATTGAGCCAAAGACAGACAGATAGAGACAGACGGAGACAGACAGAGGTGCACGGAGCATTGTTGGGAAATGAGTGGTGTCCCGTCCAGCGGACTTTGCCGGAAGACCCAATGCCTTGCCCATACCTAATCCTGCCTCGCCGCTGCCACGCCAAGATCTATTCATCCCCACCGTTACTTAAAAGTAACTTCACTCAACCTTTATTTTCTTCCTCCTCTCTCTTTCCACATTCATCCCTCCTTGTACATGATTCATGGTCGTGACTGCCGGCGTTGCTCTTTGGCTCTTCAGATAATCAACCAGGGGAGAGTAAAGACGTCTCATCTTTGACGTGTGTGTATGTTCTTTGATGGACGAGGCCCTGTCTATGAACTGTAAAGTAGGACCCATTCACCATTAACAGCGACAAAGATAATCTTAATTAAACTGTCAGAGGGGAGCATCATGTCACTATTATGAATCAGGTTGGTTTCAGGTTGGTTACCTAGCCTAAGCTGGTTACTGAGTGAATGTATTTAGGCAGCCATACTTTCCTTTTCAGTCTCTATGAAACGACTGTTCACTTTGGAGTGCATTGAGTCCACAATCAGAATGACAATATCATGTTTTGATTATATTAACATTGTGAGTCGCAAAAGTCCTGGGTGTTCTGGCCTCAATCCAAATGTATCAACACCACAAAGAATGGCTGAGAGACCTATTGCATTCAATTCCGCATTCACTTCACTGAACCAAACGACACCTCTTGAGATCAGGGGCCATTGTAAAGACAGACAACATTGCCATCTTGTGGCTAAGAAAGTAATCACACCCAACTGTATCCTTGGAAACCAGCCCTAAAAACTCTCCCTTTGGTAGAATTTTAGAACATTTTCATAGCCCTTAACATGAAATGACATCAGACAACCTTAAGAGTTGTGCGTTACTTTCAGAGTTGATATTTTACGAGTGCTGATATTAGAGCAGGCAGCAGCAGAGAGTGTTGTGCCAAGTTGTATTGCAGTGAGAGAAGACATGAGGGACTACTTACCCATCGGAGTCAATGCTGTTTTCATTAATCATGGCTTTGAGGGCATCGGAGTTCGCTGTGGAGAGAGAGAGAGAGAGAGAGAGAGAGAGAGAGAGAGAGAGAGAGAGAGAGAGAGAGAGAGAAAATATGGGGTGGGAATTAGCAAGGAAAACGCGCGAGCTACTTCAAAAGGGGGAACATTTATTGGAAGATCATTGCAGCTGATAATCTCTAAACACAATTAAATGGTGCACAGCAAGCAATTACCGGGAGCACAATCAGTCCATGGAATATAACCTCTGTGTAGGCCATATGCAACCACAGCAACCAGGGAAAAATGCATATATAAATTAAAACGACAGTCTTAAAAAAAAATATGAGACACATTAGGCCTATATTTAGTAAGTAATTACAAAGTATGAAGAAAAACTTAAAGGTAGGGACACAAGAGTATCCACATATTGGTTCACAATTCTGAAAAGTCATTGATTAGGACAAAATGTTAAAATACATGCTCAGAGCTATGTCATTAATACATCATTACACTGAACAAAACTATAAACGCAACATGTAAAGTGTTGGTCCCATGTTTGCATATGCACTTAAATCTTATTTCTCTCAAATTGTGCAAAAAATGTGATTACATCCCTGTTAGTGAGCATTTTTCATTTGCCAAAATAATCCATCCACCTGACAGAAGCTGATTAAACAGCATGACCATTACACAGGTGCACCTGGAAACTCTAAAATGTGCAGTTTTGTCACACAACACAATTCCACAGATGTCTGAAGTTTTGGGGAAGCGTGCAATTGGCATGCTGAATGCAGGAATGTCCACCAGTGCTGTTGCCAGATCATTTAATGTTGATTTCCCTACCATAAACTGCCTCCAAAGTCGTATTAGAAAATTTGCCAGTATGTCCAACCGGCCTCACAACCGCAGACAACATGTATGGCGTCATGTGGGCGAGCGGTTTTCTGATGTCAACGTTGTGAACAGAGTGCCCCATGGTGGCGGTATGGTACAGGCAGCCATAAAATACAGACAACGAAAACAATTGCATTTTGTCTATGGCAATTTGAATGCACAGAAATACCGTGACGAGATCCTGAGGCCCATTGTGAGGCCAATTTTTTGTTTTAAGGTATCTGACCAACAGATGCATATCTGTATTCCTAGTAATGTGAAATCCATAGATTAGGGCCTAATGAATTTATTTCAATTGACTGATTTCCTCATGTGAACTGTATCTTTGAAATTGTTGCATGTTGCGTTTATATTTTTCTTCAGTATAATGAACTACAATAAATTATGAGGGCAAACTCCAAAGTGCTTCAAGGACACAGAAGTAGAAGTATAGCTTCAGTTGACACTAACTAAATAGATATGATGACAGATGTGTGGAAACATCTGAGTCACTTTCGTCAAAAGACCATGTGTAGGTCCTGTTTCCTCTAACCAGTTAAAATAAGACGATTGGCCCACTAACTATGACTGTACACTACAGTATAATCCTACCTTATTATCGCTTATCATCGTATGCCTGGCCAGAGGGCATTTCAACACGCTATAAGCGCCTGTCTGATCTGAATGGAAGGAAGGAGAGTATTAATCAGTATTAGGTCCCTGAAGGGTTTGTACAGATTGTGCAGTACATCAAATTTCAATCAATCAAATTGTATTTATAAAGCCATTTTTACATCAGCAGATGTCACAAAGTGCTATACAGAAACCCAGACTAAAACCCCAAACAGCAAGCAATGCAGATGTAGAAGCACGGTGGCTAGGAACAATTCCAGAGAAAGGCAGAAACCTAGGAAGAAACCTAGAGAGGAACCAGGCTCTGAGGGGTGGCCCTTTCTGGCTGTGGGTGGAGATTATAACAGTACATGGCCATTAAGGCCAGATCTTTCTCCAAGATGTTCAAACGTTCATAGATGACCAGCAGGGTCAAATAATAATCAAAGTGGTTGTAGAGGTTGCAACAGGTCAGTACATCAGGAGTAAATGTCACTGTGGCCCCGTCCGACGATACCCCCGGACAGGGCCAACCAGGCAGGATATAACCCTACCCACTTTGCCAAAGGACAGCCCCCACACCACCAGAGGGATATCAACAGACCACCAACCTACTACCCTGAGACAAGGCTGAGTATAGCCCACAAAGATCTCCTCCACTGCACGAGCCCGAGGGAGCGACAAACCAGACAGGAAGATCACGTCAGTGACTCAACCCACTCAAGTGATGCACCCTTCCGAGGGACGGCATGGAAAGCACCAGTAAGCCAGTGACTCAGCCCCCTTAATAGGGTCAGAGGCAGAGAATCCCAATGGAGAGACAGTAACCAGCCAGGCAGAGACAGCAAGGGCGGTTTGTCGCTCCAGTGCCTTTCCGTTCACCTTCGCACCCCTGGGCCAGACTACACTCAATCATAGGACCTACTGAAGAGATCAGTCTTCAGTTACGACTTAAAGGTTGAGACCAAGTCTGCGTCTTTCACATGGATAGGCTGACCATTCCATAAAAATGGAGCTCTATAGGAGAAAGCCCTGCCTCCAGCTGTTTGCTTTGAAATTCTAGGGACAATAAGGAGGCCTGCATCTTGTGACCGTAGCGTACGTGTAGGTATGTACGGCAGGACAATATCAGAGAGATAGGTAGGAGCAAGCCCATGTAATGCTTTGTAGGTTAGCAGTAAAACCTTGAAATCAGCCCTAGCCTTAACAGGAAGCCAGTGTAGAGAGGCTAGCGCTGGAGTAATACGATCAAATTTTTTAGTTTATTTAGTGCTTTATCCGGGTAGCCGGAGAGTAGAGCATTGCAGTAGTCTAATCTAAAAGTGACAAAAGCATGGATTAGCTTTTCTGCATCATTTTTGGATGAAAGGTTAATGATTTCTGCAATGTTACGAAGATGGAAAAAAGCTGTCCTTGAAATATTATTGATATGTTCGTCTGTACAACCATCAATATTAATTGTCAGATCCAACAGAAGATCTCTTAGTTTCTTGGGACCTAGAACTTGCATCTCTGTTTTGTCCGAGTTTAAAAGTAAAACATTTGCCGCCATCCACTTCCTTATGAAACATGCTTCTAGTGTAGGCAATGTTGGGGCTTCACCGTGTTTCATCGAAATGTAGAGCTGTGTGTCATCCGCATAGCAATGAAAGTTAACATTGTGTTTCTGAATGACATCACCAAGAGGTAAAATGTATAGTGAAAACAATAGTGGTCCTAAAACGGAACCTTGAGGAACACCGAAACTTACAATTGATTTGTCAGAGGACAAACCATCCACAGAGACAAATTGATATCTTTCCGACAGATAAGATCTAAACCAGGCAAGAACTTGTCTGTGTAGAGCAATTAAGGTTTCCAATCACTCCAAAAGAATGTGGTGATCGATGGTGTCAAATGCAGCACTAAGATCTAGGAGCACGAGAACAGATGCAGAGCCTTGGTCTGACGGCATTAAAAAAAAGTAATTTACCACCTTCACGAGTTTGGTCTCAGTGCTATGATGGGGTCTAAAACAAGACTGAAGTGTTTCGTATACATTCTTTGTCTTCAGGAAGGCAGTGAGTTGCTGCACAACATCTTTTTCTAAAAATGTTGAGAGGAATGGGAGATTCGATATAGGCTGATAGTTTTCTACATTTTCTGGGTCAAGGTTTGGCTTTTTCAAGAGAGGCTTTATTACTGCCACTTTTAGTGAGTTTGGTACACATCCAGTGGATAGGGAGCCATTTATTATGTTCAAAATAGAAGGACCAACCACAGGAAGTAGCTCTTTCAATAGTTTAGTTGGAATAGGGTCCAGTATGCAGCTTGAAGGTTTAGAGGCCATGACTATTTTCATGAATGTGTCAAGAGATACAGGATTAAAAAACGTGAGTGTCTCCATTGATCCTAGGTCCTGGCAGTTTTGTGCAGACTCAGGACAGCTGAGCTTTGGAGAAATATGCAAATTCAGATTCAGTCCGTAATTTGCTTTCTAATGATCATGATCTTTTCGTCGAAGAAGTTCATGAATTCATCACTGCTGAAGTGAAAGGCATCCTCTCTTGGGGAATGCTGCTTTTTAGTTAGCTTTGCGACAGTATCAAATAGAAATGTTGGATTGTTCTTATTCTCCTCAATTAGGTTGGCAAAATAGGATGATCGAGCAGCAGTGAGGGCTCTTCGATATTGCTCTGTACTTCCTTTCCAAGCTAGGAGGAAGACTTCCAGTTTGGTGGAGCGCCATTTACGTTCCAATTTTCTGGAGGCTTGCTTCAGGGCTCGGGTATTTTCTGTATACCAGGGAGCTAGTTTCTTGTGACAAATGTTTTTTTTGTTTTTAGGGGTGCGACTGCATCTAGGGCATTACACAAGGTTAAATTAAGATCCTCAGTTAGGTCGTTAACTGATTTTTGTACTCCGACGTCCTTGAGTAGGTGGAGGGAGTCTGGAAGGGCCTCTAGGAATCTTTGGGTTGTCCGAGAATTTATAGCACGGCTTTTGATAGTCCTTGGTTGGGCTCTGAGCAGATTATTTGTTGCGATCGCAAACGTAATAAAATGGTGGTCCGATAGTCCAGGGTTATGAGGAAAAACATAAAGATCCACAATGTTATTCCACGGGACAAAACTAGATCTAGGGTATGATTGTGGCAATGAGTAGGTCCGGAGACATGTTGGACAAAACCCACTGAGTCGATGATGGCTCCGAAAGCCTTTTGGAGTGGGACTGTGGACTTTTCCATGTGAATATTAAAGTCAACAAAAATTATCTGCCATGACTACAAGGTCCGATAGGAATTCAGGGAACTCAGTGAGGAACTCTGTATACGGCCCAGGAGGCCTGTTAAACAGTAGCTATAAAAAGTGATTGAGTAGGCTGCATAGATTTCATGACTAGAATCCCAAAAGACGAAAACGCAGTCATTTTTTGGGGGGTAAATTGACATTTGCTGTCGTAAATGTTAGCAACACCTCCGCCTTTGCGGGATGCGCGGGGGATATGGTCCCTAGTGTAACCAGGAGGAGAGGCCTCATTTAACATAGTAAATTCATCAGGCTTAAATCATGTTTCAGTCAGGCCAATCACATCAAGATTATGATCAGTGATTAGTTCATTGACCATAACTGCCTTGGAAGTGAGGGATCTAACATTAAGTAGCCCTATTTTGAGATGTGAGATATCACAATCTCTTTAAATAATGACAGAAATGGAGGAGGTCTTTATTCTAGTGAGATTACTAAGGCAAACACAGCCATGTTTAGTTTTGCTCAACCTAGATCGAGGCACAGACACAGTCTCAATGGGGATAGCTGAGCTGACTACACTGACTGTACTAGTGGCAGACTCCACTAAGCTGGCAGGCTGGCTAAAAGCCTGCTGCCTGGCCTGCACCCTATCTCATCTGCAGCATGCCACTTGAGCGGGTCAAGGCTTTGAGTCAGGCAATCTGGCTCTATTAAGACTCTGACTCACAGAATGTCACCTAATGAGAGTGAATCAATGGCACTGTACTGGTGCTGTCAATACATTTCCTGGGCTTGTTGACTCACTGTAGACCTATATTACCAAGAGTAATCAGAGCAGGAAGTCTAATGTCCATTGCTATTGATTTTTGGCCCAAGCAAATCTCTTCTTCTTATTGGTGTCCTTTAGTAGTGGTTTCTTAGCAGCAATTCGACCATGAAGGCCTGATTCACACAGTCTCCTCTGAACAGTTTATGTTGAGATGTGTCTGTTACTTGAACTCTGTGAAACATTTATTTGGGCTGTAATTTCTGAGGCTGGTAACTCTAATGAATGCAGCAGAGGTAACTCTGGGTCTTCCATTCCTGTGGCAGTCCTCATGAGAGCCAGTTTCATCATAGCGCTGGATGTTTTTTTACGACTGCACTTGAAAAAACGTTCAAAGTTCTTGACATTTTCCGTATTGACTGACCTTCATGTTTTAAAGTAATGATAGACTGTCGTTTCTCTTTGCTTATTTGAGCTGTTCTTGCCATAATATAGACTTGGTATTTTACCAAATAGGGCTATCTTCTGTATACCCCCCCTACCTTGTCAACACAACTGATTGGCACAAACGCATTAAGAAGGAAAGAAATTCCACAAATTAAATTTTAAGAAGGCACACATCTTAATTGAAATGCATTCCAGGTGACTACCTCATAAAGCTGGTTGAGAGAATGCCAAGAGTGTGCAAAAGCTGTCATCAAGGCAAAGGGTGTCTATTTGAAGAATCTCAAATATAACATATATTTTGATTTGTTTAACACTTTTTTGGTTACTACATGATTCCATATGTGTTATTTCATAGTGTTGATGTCTTCACTAATATTCTACAATGTAGAAAATAGTAAAAATAAAGAAAAACCCTTGAATGAGTAGGTGTTTTAAAACTTTTGACTGGTAGTGTACATCCCTTCCCTTACATTAAAGGATGAATGACACTCAGGTAGACAGATACATGTGCCTGCGTGGAACACACACACACACAGTATGGGGTCTTTCGGTGACCGTGTGACACATTAAGGTGAACTTCCTGTTTTCAGAATAAGACACTTGTGTGCATGGACAGCTATTGCATAATCACACAAACCACATAAACATGGGGATAACGTGTTTTGAAATGACTAAACACCAGCAAATCAGCTCCAAGTGATACAAATTTAGGAAATCTGTTCCAAAGTATACAGTTGAAGTCGGAAGTTTACATAAACCTTAGCCAAATGCATTTAAACTCAGTTTTTCACAATTCCTGACATTTAATCTTAGTAAAAAATCCCTGTCTTAGGTCAGTTAGGATCACCACTTTATTTTAAGAATGTGAAATGTCAGCATAATAGTAGAGATAATTATTTATTTAAGCTTTTATTTATTTCATCACATTCCCAGTGGGTCAGAAGTTTACATACACTCAATTACTATTTGGTAGCATTGCCTTTAAATTGTTTAACTTGGGTCAAACGTTTTGGGTAGCCTTCCACAAGCTTCCCACAATACGTTTGGTGAATTTTGGCCCATTCCTCCTGACAGAGCTGGAGTAACTGAGTCTTGTTTGTAGGCCTCCTTGCTCGCACACACTTTTTCAGTTCTGCCCACAACATTTCTATAGGATTGTGGTCAGGGCTTTGTAAACCATTTTGCCACAACTTTGGAAGTATGCTTGTGGTCATTGTCCATTAGGAAGACCCATTTGCGACCAAGCTTTAACTTCCTGACTGATGTCTTGAGATGTTGCTTCAATATATCCACATAATTTTCCTTCCTCATGATGCCATCTATTTTGTGAAGTGCACCAGTCCCTCCTGCAGCAAAGCACCCCCACAGCATGATGCTGCCACCCCCGTGCTTCACGGTTGGGATGGTGTTCTTCGGCTTGCAAGCATCCCCCTTTTTCCTCCAAACATAACGATGGTCATTATGGCCAAACAGTTCTATTTTTGTTTCATCAGACCAGAGGACATTTCTCCAAAAGGTACGATCTTTGTCCCCATGTGCAGTTGCAAACTGTAGTCTGGCTTTAATATGGCGGTTTTGGAGCAGTGGCTTCTTCCTTGCTGAGCGGCCTTTCAGGTTATGTCGATATAGGACTCGTTTTACTGTGGATATAGCCCTTTTGTACCTGTTTCCTCCAGCATCTTCACAAGGTCCTTTGCTGTTGTTCTGGGATTGATATGCACTTTTCGCACCAAAGTATGCTCATCTCTAGGAGACAGAACGCGTCTCCTTCCTGAGCGGTATGATGGCTGCGTAGTCCCATGGTTTTTATAGTTGCGTACTATTGTTTGTACAGATGAACGCGGTACCTTCAGGTGTTTGGAAATCGCTCCCAAGGATGAACCAGACTTGTGGAGGTCTACAATTTTTTTTCTGAGGTCTTGGCTGATTTCCCCATGATGTCAAGCAAAGAGGCACTGAGTTTGAAGGTAGGCCTTGAAATACATCCACAGGTACACCTCCAATTGACTCAAATGATGTCAATTAGCCTATCAGAAGCTTCTAAAGCCATGACATCATTTTCTGGAATTTTCCAAGCTGTTTAAAGGCACAGTCAACTTAGTGTATGTAAACTTCTGACCCACTGGAATTGTGATACAGTGAATTATAAGTGAAATAATCTGTCTGTAAACAATTGTTGGAACATTTACGTGTTATGCACAAAGTAGATGTCCTAACCGACTTGTCAAAACTATAGTTTGTTAACAAGAAATGTGTGGAGTGGTTGAAAAATGAGTTTTAATGACTCAAACCTAAGTGTATGTAAACTTCCGACTTCAACGGTATGTGATCGTATACAAATGTAAGCAAGGTTTTAAATTATGTTTTAGTCAAATATATCTGTTTGGGCTTCTTGCGGTCAATTTGTAGTCTACAAATTATTTGTAAATTTGTTCCGGCCCCCTGACCATCCGCTCAAGAGAAAAATTGTCCCGCGACTGCATCTAGTTGATGATCCCAGGTGTAGGGTTTAGGGGACAATTTGGGATTTGCCTAAAGATATCATTTCATTTAGATTTTAGTCATTTAGCAGACACTCTTATCCAGAGCAACTAGGGTTAATTGCCTTGCTCAAGGGCACATCGACAGATTTTTCACCTAGTCAGCTCGGGGATCAGAACCAGCAACCTTTCAGTTACTGGCACAACACTCTTAACCACTAAGCTACCTGCCACTTAGTGGTTCAGAGGATAAATAAAAAAGAGGGGGCCATTAACAGGGAACGATGGCAACATGACAGTCCTTAAATGGAGGATATAGTGGACTGGTTGATTCAGAGTTGATGAAGGAAGTGTAGTGAAAAATAAACAGGGTTGTTTACAACTCTTTTGTCCCTAAACAATGAGAGGTTTCAGACATTACAGGAGAGGCCCAACCTCTGTAGGGACAAACCTAATGGGAATTCCCATAGTCCTGGTCGAGAAACCTCTCCATTCTGTAGTCATAGGTGAAAGTAGATAGTGGAGTCAGCAAGCCCAGGAAATATACTGACAGCACCAGTACAGTGCCATTGATTCACTCTCATTGGGTGACATTGTGTGAGTCAGAGTCTTAATAGAGCGAGATTGCCTGATGATGATATACGAAGTCTTTATCCCTTACAAAGACTGCAATCTCAGCCTCCATTACGAGAGACGAGGCATACATTTTTATGTCAATGGCTCTAATAGGTGGGTAGAGACAGGAAGAAGATTTGTCTATTTCAGCCACATCCCGTTGCTGACAGTTGTATGAAATCGAGCACACAGCCATTCAATCTCCATAGACAAACATTGGCAGTAGAATGGCCTTGCTGAAAAGCTCAGTGACTTTCAACGTGGGACTGTCATAGGATGCCACCTCAGTTCGTAAAATTTCTGCCCTGCTAGAGCTGCCACGGTCAACTGTAAGTTCTGTTATTGTGAAGTGAAAACGTCTAGGCGCAAACAACGGCTCAGCCATCTGGCAATCCTACGGACTAATCTGGGTTTGGCGGATGCCAGGAGAACGCTACCTACCCCAATGCATAGTCTCAACTGTAAGGTTTGGTGGAGGAGGAATAATGGTCTGGGGCTGTTTTTCATGGTTCGGGCTAGGGAAATCATAACACTACAGCATACAATGACATTCTAGACGATTCTGTTTGGGGAAGGCCCTTTCCTGTTTCAGCATGACAATGCTCCTGTGCACAAATCAAGGTCCATACAGAAATGGCTTGTCGAGATTGATGTGGAAGAACTTGACTGGCCTGCACTGAGCCCTGACCTCAACCCCATCGAACACCTTTGGGATGAATAGGAATACCAACTGTGAGCCAGGCTTAATCGCCCAACATCAGTGCCCGACCTCACTAATGCTCTTATGGCTGAATGGAAGCAAGTCCCCGCAGCAATGTTCCAACATCTAGTGGAAAGCATTCCTAGAAGAGTGGAGGCTGTTATAGCAGCAAAGGGGGGACCAACTCCATATTAAGACCCATGATTTTGGAATGAGATGTTCGACGAGCAGGTGTCCATATACTTTTGGTCATGTAGTGTACTGTTTCTTACCATATACAGTAGAACACTGGAATGGTCCATTACTCCATTTGCATAGGAGAAGGTGGGAGTAAGTCTTTCGCTTTTGTTATATGTATCATGACCCTGATCTCCCTTCCGTCACTTAGCCTTATCCACATAATGTGAAACTCAAGACAAACCAACTTGACTAAGGTGGGGTGGGGGATCTAAACAGTGCACTAACCAATAAGCTAATGTTCTAGTAGTGAAAGTGTTTACAAAGAACATCCAATTTGGAACCTAAATTAATAGAATTCACAGATGTTTTTCCCAATAGACCTTGGGCATGAGTAGACCATAGAGGTTAAGAAAAAGGTACCTTGTTCAATGTATAATTCCATTTTACATTTACATTTTAGTCATTTAGCAGACGCTCTTATCCAGAGTGACTTACAGTTAGTGAATGCATACATTTTTCATACTGGCCCCCCGTGGGAATCGAACCCACAACCCTGGCGTTGCAAACACCATGCTCTACCAACTGAGCTACATGGTAGGGTCACCGGTAGGGCTCCAGACTAACATTTTCCCCTGGTGGCACTGGTGCCACTAACCTTTTCAGTTGGTGGCACTGGCCCCTGATTTGGTGGCACCCTCAACAATTTTGCAGCTTCACACAATAGAATACATTTGAGTCATCTTATAAAGTCATTCACAAAGCTTTATTAAGACGTGTAATAAACTTCTGAGATGGTATTCAATAAATAAGTTTTACATCTAACATGTCCAAGCAAGAATGCATGATTCAAATTATTTTGATATGCAACTTCATGAATTTTGGGTTGACAATCAGGCTATTTTTTATTTTATATATTTGATTGTCAAAATAGGGGAACAGAATTTCCAGATTTTTTTGTTCAATAGAGATGATTTTGTGCCTTCATCTATATGTGCACTAATATTATATATAGGCATAATTCAATTGGTGCTAATTCACCACCTGAGGAAGTGGAAACTCAAAACACATGGTTAGATCGCTAACTAGAAATGTAACACTTATTGCTAGTATAGCCATGTATTAATCGAACAGTAAACGTAATGTCCTAAAAAAACTTTGCAATGAGGCCTAGTGCACGCTACATATTTCAAAGCCATATCAGATATCTTGATTGTAAAACAGTGTGCTTTGAGCTCAATAATGATCATTGAGAAATAAAAATGATACCTACAGAAAGCGGAGACCCTCTTCTCTATAATATATGTTATACAATCACAAGGGGCACACGACAGTGTGAGACGCTCGCTCATTACAGCAGCCAGTCTCAGTGAAACAGGCAGGCGCAGGGCAGACACTTTTATTACAGGAATCATAAGGATAATGCACTTTTTAATAAATTAATGGTTTTATCCGCACAAAAAATAAGACGTTTTGATTGAGGTGACCAGGTAGAATGTGCAGCTCGCACCAGTGCGACCAATACATTTTTTTTTTTTACTCGCACAGCCAAGTCAAAGGGACTAGCAAACTGGTGACTTTAGAACAGAAACTTCCTGTCAGTAAGCACAGATTACTGCACAATTTGGTGATGAGTCTTGTTGTGTACAGAGGGTCATGTCTTGTGAGTTTACACCCCAGTTGAGACGGAACTCCCTCTGTTGCATATGAACCCCTAATGAGAAAAATCGCTACATCTTCATCTCATCCTCCTCACCTGCGCACATCTCCAGGTCCTTCTCTTGCTTCTTCTTCGGCCTCATCTTCGGCCTCTGTGGTACAGCGGTATCCCTTTTCTAAAGCACGTGGCAGATAAGGACACCCAGCAGACCCAGGAGCAAGAAGATGGGCACCAGAACGAAGGCTATGTACTCTGGGTTCGCCTGGCCATCCCCTCCACCACTGCCGCTTCCCGCTGTCTGACCCGCTGGAAAGGGGACAGAGTGATAACAGGGGGTGAGAGAGACAAAGGAAAGGGGGTTGAAAAGATAAGACATGGGGAGGGAGAGAAAGAAAAACAAGACCATTAAACATTGACAAGAGATTAACAAATGGATAATGCACATGGTAAGTAGGGCTGGGCGGTTTCCAGATTTTCATATAGTCATACCGTTCTTCTCTCATTACGGGATTACGGTATTACCGGTTTATTACACAAGGGGGCGCAAAAAAAACAAACACATAAAGGACCATTGGGCATCTGTTACCAGAATGCTAACAAAATTAGCACAAGTAAAATACGAATTTCCATTTCCATTTAGCTGCTAGCTAAATATGCTAACGAGCGAATGTGAACTAAAGACATTGTGCAAATGAACAAAGTTTCGACTCATGCGTGTCTGCTCTGAAGCAGCATGCGTACACACTGTTTGTCTGGAGTCACTCGGGCAACTAGCCTGTCTGCTCTGCTTGGAGAAGATGGAGGAGGAGCAGACAGGCGGAGAGGAGAAAAAAAGGCAAGGAAATCAAAAGACTGCAGTGGCAGCTGTACAGATAACTCATCCAAAGGGCTTTGACTTCTCAAACACAGCAGAATGCTTACACAATATGATGCCCTGTCACTTTATTCATTCAGTGACTTACTTCGATAACTAGCAAGTTAAACTTAGGGGTCGCAATAACACAGAATTCTTCATTTTTCACGCAGGAAAAAAAGATATACACTTAAGAAATCTCTTGCTGCGTTTTGTAAATGCAGATCTAAAATGCTTCTTATTGTAATTTCTGCTCAGCATTAGACAAATGTTCTGCTTCACTTCTCCACTCCACTGACGTGTAGCTTTTTTCCTCTGGTGCTTTTTTCTCGGTGTAGCCAGACTACTTTTCTCCGATATGTTTTTGCAATAAAATGCCTTGCTTTTTCTTTGTAAACTAATTGACTTGTGTGGCTGCCAGCCAAATAGCGTTGCACTTCTGTTGTCATCTGATGAAAATGAAGCTATTTTCCGCCGAATGTGGTGCACTAACGTATTTTCTGTGAAGGAAAACTATAGTTGCACATCCCTGATCACTCTATTGAAGCTAAAAAACACTGTTGACTTTCAATATAAAACGCGACCCCTGTCAATACACAGCTTGACACACCTGCTACAGCTTTCACCAGTTGTGCTATTTACAAACATGTGACTGGCTCAACTCTTCTGGGGCAACTATGGTAAGCTCCATAATGTAAAATAATGTGACAGGTGAAATGAAGACTGATCTGCTTTATCTCCTAACGTACTGCGCAAGTTGACTGCAGGTATTTACTTACAAAATAGCTACGAATAATATTTTATTGAAAAACTTCTAAGAAATAGTTAAAAGGTATTGACGGTACTGAAAAACCATCCTGTGGCTATTTCCAAGTACCCCCGGTACATGAGTTATACGATACACCACCCTAGTCATTTAGTCATCATTCAATATACTGTGTACTACGTAGTCACCACCGCCAACATATCACATTTGACTCATACTCTGAGTGGCACCAGATATTCCTATTACCCAGCAGAGGGAGGATTTAAGCGCTACTCTGAACTGAACTCAATGGTCACCCAGGTTTGAGAATAAAAGGCGACAGTGCTTTCATGTTTCCTCTCTTGCCCTCTGTCGCTTGCTGGACAAAAAGTGTAGCACTCCCCAGCACTGCGGGCTGTCATGTGAGCCGACAGGCCTTTGATAGCCGAGAAAGAGAGACACTGTGTCATTGTCGCCTGAGAGACTGCTGACTAAGACGGGGCTGTAATCCCTGTAAACTTTCCAGCTCTCCCTCATTCGCGCTGTCTCTCGCTCTGTCGTTCTGTGTTCTCTCTACATGCTATCTGGGAAAGTTTTCATTTGAAAGAGAGAGAAGCAGAAAGAGGGAGAGAGTGAGAGCGAGCGCGAGAGAGAGACTAAACGGAGGGAGAAATTAAGCAGGAATGTGTTGCAGGCCGTGTTCATCAGCACAGTTGGTAGGCTGGTTCATTGGGTCCCTAAGAGCTGTTGCCATTGGCAATGGGGGGGGGGTCATCCCTTTGAGACTCCTGAGCCATCAGGAGTGAGTCACACACAATATAGTGTACATTCATAATCCCCAAGGTCTCTTTAGTATGGGTAAATCCTTCCACTTTCTCTGTGACTGTGAGGTCAAAGCCACAAGGTGTCACCCTTACACCCTCTATTAATGACCTTTGGCATGGTTCCATGTTCCCTTTCCATGTTCACCAAGGACTGGTGACATGCACTGCTCAAAAAAATTAAGGGAACACAAACAACACAATGTAACTCCAAGTCAATCACACTTCTGTGAAATCAAACTGTCCTCTTAGGAAGCAACACTGATTGACAATAAATGTCACATGCTGTTGTGCAAATGGAATAGACAACAGGTGGAAATTATAGGCAATTAGCAAGACACCCCCAATAAAGGACTGGTTTTGCAGACCACTTCTCAGTTCCTATGCTTCCTGGCTGATGTTTTGGTCAATTTTGAATGCTGACGGTGCTTTCACTCTAGTGGTAGCATGAGACGGAGTCTACAACCCACACAAGTGGCTCAGGTAGTGCAGCTCATCCAGGATGGCACATCAATGCGAGCTGTGGCAAGAAGGTTTGCTGTGTCTGTCAGCGTAGTGTCCAGAGCATGGAGGCGCTACCAGGAGACAGGCCAGTACATCAGGAGACATGGAGGAGGCCGTAGGAGGGCAACAACCCAGCAGCAGGACTGCTACCTCCGCCTTTGTGCAAGGAGGAGCAGGAGGAGCACTGCCAGAGCCCTGCAAAATGACCTCCAGCAGGCCACAAATGTGCATGTGTCTGCTCAAACGGTCAAAAACAGACTCCATGAGGGTGGTATGAGGGCCCGACGTCCACAGGTGGGGGTTGTGCTTACAGCCCAACACCGTGCAGGACGTTTGGCATTTGCCAGAGAACACCAAGATTGGCAAATTCGCCACTGGCGCCCTGTGCTCTTCACAGATGAAAGCAGGTTCACACTGAGCACATGTGACAGACGTGACAGAGTCTGGAGACGCCGTGAAGAACGTTCTGCTGCCTGCAACATCCTCCAGCATGACCGGTTTGGCGGTAGGTCAGTCATGGTGTGGGGTGGCATTTCTTTGTGGGGCCGCACAGCCTTCCATGTGCTCGCCAGAGGTAGCCTGACTGCCATTAGGTACCGAGATGAGATCCTCAGAGCCCTTGTGAGACCTTATGCTGGTGCAGTTGGCCCTGGGTTCCTCCTAATGCAAGACAATGCTAGACCTCATGTGGCTGGAGTGTGTCAGCAGTTCCTGCAAGAGGAAGGCATTGATGCTATGGACCGCCCGTTCCCCAGACCTGAATCCAATTGAGCACATCTGGGACATCATGTCTCGCTCCATCCACCAACGCCACGTTGCACCACAGACTGTCCAGGAGTTGGCGGATGCTTTAGTCCAGGTCTGGGAGGAGATCCCTCAGGAGACCATACGCCACCTCATCAGGAGCATGCCCAGGCATTGTAGGGAGGTCATACAGGCACGTGGAGGCCACACACACTACTGAGCCTCATTTTGACTTGTTTTAAGGACATTACATCAAAGTTGGATCAGCCTGTAGTGTGGTTTTCCACTTTAATTTTGAGGGTGACTCCAAATCCAGACCTCCATGGGTTGATAAATTTGATTTCCATTGATAATTTTTGTGTGATTTTGTTGTCAGCACATTCAACTATGCAAAGAAAAAAGTATTTAATAAGATTATTTCATTCATTCAGATCTAGGATGTGTTATTTTAGTGTTCCCTTTATTTTTTGAGCAGTGTATATACACTGAAGAAAAACAAATGCAACATGTAACAATTCCAAAGATCTTATTGAGTTAGTTCATATACAAGCTGGCGTTTTGAATACACAGCGGTACAAATCACCTCAAGACAAAAACATAATATTCAATGTCAGTAAGTTAGACTAAATATTTGCACTTCATATATTCAAGGGTAATAACATTCAATCTGGATAATAACACAAAACAAATTATAATGCTAGAGAAATGTATCGACAAATATTACAACAACACGCAACACCCAAACATGACGGAAGATAAACGAGGAGAACCAATCTCCAAGAGAAAACACGACTCCTCAACTGATACAGATGATTTATGCTTTTCACCACTGGGACTGGTAAGTGTGGAAAGCGATCTGTTGAAGCCGATAAATTACAAACTGGGCATACTAGAGTTGGTCAGTAAGGATGTAAAGGAGTTGAAGGTGAGTCTTGAAATGAGTGACGGAAAAGCTGCGATAATGGAGAAAGATACGAAAAAGCTAAAAGGGACAGTCACTAGGATGGAAACGGACGTTAAGGAACTTAAAAAGGAGAACAACTTTCTGAGAGAAGCCTTACTAGACATACAAACTAGATCGATGAGAGAAAATCTAGTACTTACGGGTATCCAGGAAAAAGAAGGGGAGGTTACCGAAATAATTGTGAAGGACTTCTTACTTACAGCGCTTCAAATCCCACTCGAGGCTGTCGACAAAACCCAACTCGAACGTGTACACCATTTCGGACAAAGAGGACAGAGATATGAGCGTCCAATCGTTGCCAAATTTGTTTTTTTTAAGGATAAAGTAATGGTTAAAAGCCTAGGTAAAAGACTTGCTGGCACGAAAATAGGCATGAATGATCAGTTCCTGAGGGAGATTGCAGAACGGCGCAAAGTTCTGTACCCAATCTTAAAGGAAAATAGATTAAAAGGGAAGCGTGTTGCTCTTGTTGTCGATAAATTGTATATTGACAACCAAATGTTCCGCGACACAAAGACTACTCCATGGTTATTCTGAAAGTTCTAATAGAGGAGTCGAATAATGGAACACCCAATACTAGCCATGGTAGGGATTGTAATAATAAAGCACATTTAAAGTATGTATAGTATTTTATAAAGGGATAAGACAGTAATACAAGAAAAGATAACAAGCA